AGACTAATTGGTCGAAAATCACTAAGTTTGAGAGGATCCTTGACCTTTGGAACAAGGGTAAGAAAGGAGGAGTTACACCCATATTCAAGCTTTCCAAACTGCTCAAATGTCACACCCCGCTAAAGCGGAAACGCAAGATATGACAGCGATAAAGGTTTCACTGCAAAAGATAAAGATACATCACCATAGTAATAGTTAAAAGTTTACAACCCATAATTAACAAAACAAAATACAAGTTTTTCCAAAATAACATTGTTCAAAAGATAACTTCATAAAATAACTTCCACACGATGCAGCATGCTCTATGATGATGAATCTTTATACCCACTTACTAATTATTTCGTGAAAAAGCATGTAAAACAAGGGTCAACTATGAAACTAGTTGGTGAGTTCACAAGTTTATAAAATCAAGATTTGGTATAAAACTTTCCATAAATACAAGTACATTTCTATAATGAGAAATAAAGTTTATTGCTATAATAAATAACAAGCTTGTATGTACATGAGCAAACAATGAGTTCACAACCAAGCCTATGACTGATGCCCTATCAAGATCTATGATTATCGTTCCATAGATTAATATGGTATCATGCACTCCAGCAATCGGGAGAGTGAGGAGTTGTCAATTCCTAATAGCGTTATCCATAATGATAATTGGCTCAAAGAGTTAATGGTTGGAGTAAAGTATAAGGGAATGGACTTAAGACGATAAGGCCTCATGTTTCAAGATGCATAAACATACATAGCATAATATAGCACAATTTAGCAATCAAAATTGATACAATTCACTTTTAAATACAATGAATAATAAATAGTTTTTCGGACATGCTTTTCCACCCTAAAACGTAAAACCCGAAAATAGGGGAGTCGTGAATACTCAAGTAGTTCCTCGGAATACACCAACGCCTTACTACCGGGATCCTACGACATCAAACACACGCTAGTGAGTTTCTATGTCGAAATCTAATTCTAATATACTAAATTCTACATATAGAGAAATGCCAAATTTTTGTTCTAATATTGGTTTTATATTGAATGGGTAACTATTTTTCTGAAATGGTGATATTTTATAACTCATGTGATTATTATAATTTTGGATATTATTTTCCATATTTTTGTAATATTAATTGAGGGTATTTCAACTCATTTAAATGTGTTTTAAACTCCAAAAATCCAAAAATATTACCAAACAGTTTTCAAAATTTATCAAATTTTACATTTTCATTCCAAATACAGTAGAGGTCTTCCATAATTTTTCCCTTGAATTTTTGATGTGTTTAACTATTTTTCCAAAATTTTAAGCCTTCATAACAATATAAATTCGTTAAAAATAGCATACAGATGATAAAAATTCCCAAACTTTTTATATTACTTCAATTAAATATACTTAAGCTGGGAAAAATATAGAAATGAGTTTCTAAATAGTTTAACTCGATTTTATGATTTTGTACATTTATTCTAATAAAAATGGAGATAAATATAAAATAGTTTCCAAAATTGCCCAAACTTTTTGTAACACTATTGTTATATATGTATAAGCTGGTAAAAATATAAAAGATATTTTTCAATATGTTTTTCTATTTTTCTTTGTTTTATTCTCTTGAATATTCATTAATTAGTGAATAATTACCAAGCAGTTAAATTAAATTACCAAAATTTTTGTAAACTTGATTTACAGTGTACATAATCAGAGAAAAAATACTAATGGTGATTTTTATACACTATAATCCGATTTTGTGGATTTAAGTGTATTTAATCTTAGAAAATAGAAGAAAAATAGTATATTAAATGTAAAAATCCTCCAAATTTTTATTTATAGTTCTAATATAGTCTAAGGTCTTCTGGTAAATTTTCATGAATTTTGGATGAGTAGAACTATTTTTTCCATTATTAGTCCATTATAAATACAAAAATCGGAGAAAAATAGATATGCATTATGAAAAATTTTGAAAATATTATTATGGTTATTAAACATGCAGTAGGATCTGCGAAAAATACTAGATAGCATTTTTACATTCCCTAAAGTGGTTTTATGATTTATTTGTATTAAACAAAAAGAAAGTTCAAAACCATAGAAAACAGTAACAAAAATCGATGAAACTCATAGAGATGTCATCATTTACTTTAGGGGTCATCCACGAATTTACCTAGGATTTATAGACCTCAGCAAGGGTTTTAAATGATTTATGGCTTTGTTATCTTGTGATAATTTTATTAAATGAAATAAATGATAAAAACTCTTGAAATTTTCCAGATCCTCATATCATCTTACTGGGAATCTGAGGAAATTTTATTTCGACCAGAAAAGGATATCTATATTTTCTTATGAATAAAACTGTTTATATGAACTATTAACAATGTACTTTGATCATCAAGCTCTTTAACTTGATGTTCATCACATGCATCATGGTTTGTAGACCATGCATGGATATATTTTGTTCATAGTGATGTTTTCAAATGAAAAACTTGAATACATAAGGTATATGAACCTTTAAAACTTGTAAAAATTCGTATTTTAGGGTTTGACATAGGTTTTGGTTCTTGGATTTCACCATTAAACAACATGCATGTTGTTTTTGGGTGAAACCCTACCACCACCATCATCAAACTCGAAATTCCATGGATATGTTCATGTATGTTCATAAAGAATGGTGTAGAAGAAAGAGAAGTGCAAGAAAAACCTTTAAAACAAGAAGTAAAGTGAAGGAAAATGAAGGATTTTCGTGATTACCTTGAAGGACAACCCTAGAAGATGAAGATTTGAAGATTGAGAGGTGTTCTTGGCTGGATAATTCTGTGGCTTTGAGAGAGAGAAGAGAGTGTTTGAGTGTGGTGAAGAGTGGGGTGTGAGAGAGAGTGTGAAGAGAGGGACATGAAGTGTAAAAATGGACTTAATGATTGAAGTTTTTGGGAAAAGAGAGCATGGGAGAGAGTATGGACGAATTTTATGAGTATAAGAGAGGTCCTCTCTCTCCTAATTCACATTTATATAATTTCCCCTTAATATTTATAAAACCCCAATTTTTATAAAAATGCTTCTTTATTTAATTCTTGATTTATTAAAAATATTTGTTTTTAACTAATAAATTATGATTAATGTTTGATAATTAAATTTTTATGTGTTTCATTATATCCCATAACTTAATTATTTAAATTTGATATAATGAGGTTCATAACAAATCTTATAGAGTTTTTAGGTTTTGAAGTTTATAAATTTGGATTTTTGGGCTCTTTAGGGCTTTTGGAACTTTGTTAGATATTTACCATCATAATGAAATGAAATTAGAAGATTTTAATTTATTTTTAAGGTTTTATACACTTTTTCAATTGTAACAAATGTTTGGAGTTCATTCTAATTCGGGTATTGGCATTTCCTACAGTAGATAGAAAACTTACTAGAATCGTAAGAGTCAAGTATATTAGTCCTAGATTTTTGTTGGATCCTAGTTTCTACAAGATTATGACCTAATTTATACTACTAGGCCATAACATGATGTGCATATATGGTTTATAAAAAGATGCATGAGTCCGAGAATGTCCTGAATTTGACAGTTATCACATCAAAGTATTTTACACAGGAGATGATATCCGCATTCACCAGATCCCAATATTTCTTTATAAAACTGAATGTGAAGCCATCGGGCCCAGGAGCCTTCTCCCCTTCACAGGCCCATGCAGCCTTTTTAATCTCGCCAGTAGAAAATGGAGCCTCTAAACTGATGCTAGTAAATGAGTCCAAGGCAATGAATTTTTGACTAATCAGTTTAGGTCTGCTAGGCCATTTTTCTTGAAACTTCGCCTTGTAGAACTCAAACACTTCCTTCTTAATTGCTTTAGCATCCGTGTTCCAAGAGCCATAAATAACTAATCCATGGATGTTGTTATGCTGTTTTTTGTTATTAACATACCCATGGAAAAATTTAATGTTTTCATCCCTATCCACCGCCCACTTCACCCTTGCTTTCTGCTTTAGGTCTAAGGTTGCCAGCTTTTCAAGTTCAATTAACTTTTTAAAATTTTTTCTTCGATCTTTAATCTCGTGATCACCAAGGGTTCGAGATTCAACTTCCCTGTCCAGCTCCTGAATTCTAGATTTAGCCATTCTCAACTCCTCTGATTCCTTTGGGAATTCTTTTGCCCTCCAATTCCTAATCTCCTTTTTAAGGAACCTTAGTTTTGCAGCAAGATAACCATCTGGTGTTCCATACCCCCTGAAGTTCTCCCATGCCTTGTATACCACCAAATCAAAACCATTTCTCCTCATCCACGAGTTAAAAAACCGAAACGGAGTCCGACCAAAATCCGGTGCATACGACTGCAAGACTACTGGGCAGTGATCCGACAATTCCCTAGGGAGTGCTACCACAGATATCGATGGGAAAAGGTTTATTAAATCATGACTTACAAGGAACCGATCGAGCTTGCTAAGCTTTACTTCAGATTGGCAGAAGCAGGTATATCGATGACCACCCATCTTGAGATCACACAAGCCAGCTTCCCCAATAAATTGATTGAATGTATATGCTGACAGAGGACACAATTGAGAGTTGTAACGCTCATCCGGCCTCCTAACCGTGTTAAAGTCTCCAAATATGATCCATATCCCATTCTTATGTTTTTTAATGTCGAGCAGATCCTCCCATAATCTGCGTTTCTCTGTCAAAGATTGCGGACATTTATATTTGCGAAATTCACATCCTCTTCTAAACCCATCCAGCACCCAGTAGTGATTTGGTAATGTCTGGATTTTATGACCTCCTTAACCTTATACAGCCTGTTGTCCCATATACTTAATAATCCGCCTGATATTCCAAACGCTTGCACCGAAGCAGACTCAAAATTACTTGAATCCCAAGACCCTTCAATGTCTATGTTTGTTGGATCCTCCAACTGAGTTTCTTGTAGCCCTAAATACGAGATATGATTCGCGACCTTGAGGCACCTTACCCACTCCACCTTATAATCCTCTCCAATTCCTCGAATATTTAAACTTAGGCAATTCATTGGGCAACAATTTTTTCCCCCGCTTCTTCCATAACTTCCTTGAGAATAGGGTCCTCATCGTTAATTGCGAACCCCACCTCATTACCAACTTCGACTGTCTTGGTCAACTCATGAGAGGAGGAGCTGCTATCACTTACTTCAGACCTTTGATTATCTTTGGAAGCACATCTGTTGAGGTCAATTGATGTGGTCGAGGAACACATCCGAGGTCGATGGGGGGCTAGGTTAAACTCTGCAGTACTGAGGCTTAAGGGAATAGTCGGATTAGTCAGATCAGCTCCACCCAACATATGCTCCTGAGCGTATCTCTTACATTTTTTAGCAGAACCACTATGACCAGAAAATTGGTCAACGATATTGTAGGAGTTAACGTGAATACATGAGCGAAAAGGGCCAAAATACCTAACAGGAGTGGAATTATCCTGGAGCCCAATTCTCACGCTGCTATGTGGCCCGCTACATGTATCCGATGGCACAATATTACCACCGCCATTATGATGATCAGTCAAAGGATTATCATTGACCTTCAGCGTTCCCAACTCCCCATGCACCGGTTCATCTTCCATTGGCTTGACTGTCTCCGACTCTTCCACTTCTCCCTGACCTCTGAGATCTCCTTCATCCACCCCGCCCACCGGTGCCGGATCGACTCCCGCCGTCATTATACCATCCACAAATCCCGACGGCGAGCCTGCCCGACCATTGCTGTTCTTTGGAACACTACCAACATACCCATCATCCGTAGTATTCGTTTCTATCACTATTTCCCCATCCTCGATCTCTGGTTCTTCATTTGCCATCCAAGTGTCCGAAATTCCTTCATCGTCCTCTTCATCTCCATTCAACTTGTCCTCACTGACGTCATTACTTTCATAATAATCCTCCGATGAGTCAAAGCGAAACGGAAACCAGTCCTCATCGAACTCTATGAGACCCACTTTTATCAAATTTCTTCCATCAGCAGGCACAATCACTTCATTGATACGATCACACCTATCAGTGCGTATTCCGATCTTTACACAAGAGAGGTCAATTCTATGATGAAAATCATCAAATGGGTCTATGATTTTACCAAACTTCTCCGCTATAATAGAGAAGTTACAGGTACTCCAAAGTTTCAGCGGTAACCCCATAATTCTTAACCATGACACCCTCTCAAAGCTTAGATCAACCTGATCCCTCCACTTAATCCATTTCAGGCTTTCCTTCCATCTTTCTTCATTCTCCATCAATTTCTTGGCATCTATTGAGTTACCAAAGTCCAACAGTACTGTAAAACCCCCGATATACTTTATCTCAATTCTATCCTCTTCCCTTTCAAATAGTAGCTTTGGCAGATGTCCAAGGTGATCGAGAGATATTACCTCTCCAACGAGGGTAGATTTTGACAGTAATCTATGGGTACCTGGTTGACGCTGTAAGATGATCGGCTGAGCCGACAGTGGCGGGTTATCAATCCCTCATTGTGACGAATGTGAAGCACCAGCAGGATTTGTCACCTCAACGAAGGAGCTGTGGTCACGAAGGTTACCTTTCATTGTGGTTTGTTGAGTCTGCATTCTGCTCCAATAGGTTTTCACCACTTTTCGTCCTTCCTTCCTTTCATACTTTGCCAAATTGACTGCCAACGCCCTTCCATTTAGTCTGACTCCATTCAATTTTTTTTCCATATTTGCGATGTCATTCACTCTTTGGAACCTTATGAATGCATAGAATTGACCGTTCCTCCCCTTCTTCGTTCCCATATAAACGTATGATACTCTCCCATATTTGGCGAAAACCTCCCATATCTCCCTTTTCCTTGCATCCCCAGGGACGTTTGATGCAAAGAACGTGGTTTTCGTCGACGTGTTCTGATTCTCCCTTGATCTCCGACGCTCAACTCGAGTCCATATGTGACACCAGTCAAGTTTTGGTCAAAAATAAATTGATCAATAATCGTAATTGGGATGAACCAAGTGGTAGAGTTTGCAACAAGGTTTCCAAAAACATAAAGAACACTGAAATCCGAGTTATAACGAAGAAGTTATGACCAATCGAAAATCCGCGGTAAAACCGGCAAAACAATGTTCAGTGTAAAAAGCAAATTTTTCGATAAAAGGCTTTTTAGCCTTAACAATCTAAATAAAACTTGTAGAATTTGTTAAACCGAGAACGTTCATAAAAAGAACGTAAAAATCTGACTTCGTATGAGAAAGTTATGATTTTTCGAAGTTTCGGTTTAGCAGTAAACAGCTAAAAATTCGAAATATAAATCGATCGATATTTAGCCGACGTATCTTAAACGAGAATCGAAGGTCTCATCAAAAGTAGCACAACGGTAAAAAGACAGACGAAAACGGACGTCGGATGAAGAATTTATTAATTTTTAACGGATTCCCGTCCCGGTCTGTTTAAAATAATAATATTAAAAATAAATTCAAAATCAGCCGACGAAGTCTAAACGAAAGTCGTAGAGTATGATTTTACCTACGCGTGCATATAAAGAACGCCAAAAACGGAGCTCGTATGCGAAAGTTATGATTTTTGCAAGTTTTGGCACAAAAATAAAGAAAAATAAGAAAAAAACCCGGACAATTTCGCATGCCACGTCACCCTCGCATGTGGCAGCTGCTGAGTGGACCGACGCCATGCGTGGCACCTCCTGATTCGACCAACTCTTCGGTCTAATCCTACTCCGACAGCCTCGCATGAGACACACCGGACCTCACCCTCGCATGCTCCTCGGATGATCTCGAACCCTCGTGCCCTCCTCTGATTGGACCGAAGCCTGGTCCTATCCGAAGCTGCCAGCTGCGAGCCGACCATCCGAACCGAGGCCACCTGTCGGAACCGAAGCTCCAGCTTGCCACCTGTCCGAGACACGTGTCTCGTTCCCCTTGCTTCGGATCCGAGGCTTCGGACTATAAATAGCCCGCGAGACCCTCCAGATTTTTACACTTTTTCACCCCATTTTTGGTCCTTTTTCACTCCTTTCACTTCCATAACCTCACAAACAACCCCCCAAGGCCCCGGTATCGTGTCTAAAGCCCGAAGCAAGCCCCGGAACCCCAAAATTCTCGAGAAGTCATCCTCTCTCCTGTCGAAACTCTGCCCGGTTTGAGCCGATTTCTCGTTAAATAAACTCTTTACGGGAAACGAAACGCTGCCCGAATCACCGCTTATCAAAGTGAGTTCATACCCCTATAATATACCTTTTTAAATGGTTTTAAATGCTTTTTAGGGGGGAATACAAGTTTAACACAATAATAAATTGTGTTAATAACTGTGTGTGATAATAATCACACAGAAAGTTTCCGTAATGCTTTTAAGAATTACCAAATACTTCCAAAATAACGTAAAGCCATGTTAAATTCTTTGAAAAATGTTTTATAAACTATTTCAAATTATAAATGCCAAAATCATGTTTATATATGTATAAATATATAAATAAGACATGAAGGGCTTAGGACTAATGAATTATCTTATATCATTTTTCCTTGTTTGGATGTGGAATTAAGGTTGTGTTATTTGTCCGAAGGTCGTTTCCTTCTTAATTATATATATATATATTATACATATATGAGTCTAAAAGGTTACTCCTTTTAGTATCATTACCTTTGTATCAGACTGAGCAAAGGTGATATTCCATGAGAATTCATGCTAATCAGATAGAACATATAAATTATAATAGGTATAATTTATGATTCAAAACTAAATATACAAGTATGATTCACGACTGTATACTTTCCAAGGAAATTACCAAAATACATTCAACTATACCAAGATATGTATAATACCTTTAATATACGAACAACATATTAAAGAAGTAAAGATACATCATACCTAGTTTGCATTAACAAAGGTACTATACAGAGTACCAGGGTTAGCAAACACGTGGTAATGTCGGGTTTGCATTAGCAAAGGTACTATACAGAGTGCCCGAGTTAGCAAACACGAGGTAATAATACATCCTGCCGAGTTTGCATTGGCAAAGGTACTATACAGAGTACCCGAGTTAGCAAACACGAGGTAATAATACATTCTGCCGGGTTTGCATTAGCAAAGGTACTATACAAAGTACCCGAGTTAGCAAACACGAGGTAATAATTTATTAGAATACACTGTTTTACAAGAAACCAGTGTTTTGATTCAAAACAAATCAAGAGTTTACACTTATCAAATACATGTTTGGAAAACTAAGAATATACTGTCAATCATTATTTCAGAATGATTGGGTTTTCAAAACTAATATACATGTAACGTTTAATATGTTTTTTATGAGGCTCTATATTCAGGTTGTTTAATTCATTTTAGACAACATAGGAAAGTCCTGACATTATAACCAGAATCTCCAGCCGGGGATCGAAACAAGTGTGTGTAGATCTATATCGGGATTGACAACCCCGCACTCAGGCTGCTAGCTACAGTCCGACATACACGCCGATGAGTGACAATTGTTATCACCAGTTTAAACGCCCACAAAGCGTTTGTTTCAGGCCATCCGTCATAGTATGGTTATAATAACTACTCATTAAAAAGATATTAATAATACGTTAGTGTATAAACAAATAAACGAAAGTACACCTTCAAAGTACCAGTTTATAGAATACAAAATACAATGGTTTAATACAGTTTTCATTAACACCTGGTGGAGCCAGGCACACTCTCAGTTTCAAGTTTTCATAAAGGAATACAAATATAAAACAGTAATACAAAGAGAACGGTTTATGGGATTAAACCACTTATCCAATGGAACTTAGTCACTCAATCTCGGTAAACTAGTATAACATAAAAGACCTTTAGTGGTTAATTCTATAATTCCTTAGTTATTACATCATAGTTATACATAAGTAATGTTCGATTGACAGTGAAGTGTGTGACTTCCGCCTTACTTCCTGTTCCTTGTTTGGTTGTGGGCTTAGGGCAGATACACCCAATTGACTGTCCATTCGATATGGTGTTATATATAATCAGTATAAACTAAGTAATTACAGAGGGAAACTATTGAGGTTATCAGTTAATCACCTCAGGAAATATAGGATTTCCTGGAGAAACCAGTGAACTTATTCAAAGAACTTAGGGTATACTTAACAGAACTAAAATACTTATGAACTCACCAGCTTAAATGCTGATCTACTCTTTCCAAATAACTTGTATTCTCAGGAATCCAGTAGACAGGTACACTCCCGAAGCTTTCGAGAAGACTACCTAGTACCGTACCGCGACTCTTGTCTTCTACTGTACCTACTTTAGTGTTTGAATATGTAATGTTTAAACACTTATGTAAAACTTATACTTATTAATGCAATGGTTGTTTGTACTTTGATTACTATATTGCATGTGTTGTGATACTTACCTAAAGTCCTCCGCCCCCGAACGTTTCCGCCGTTCTGGTTTGGGGGTGCGACAGATTGGTATCAGAGCAGTGTTTATAGTGAACTCAGTATATCAGTCATAAAAGATATACAACTATAAACCCATTGGGATAAAAACACTCTGACCAAGAGTTATACTTTAAAAATATATTAATATTTTATAAAAGTATAAGTACATGCAGAGTATATATACCAGAATGAGTATCACAAGAAGAACAAAACTAAAGTATTTAGATGTTGGACATTGCAGTTAAACCTAGACAGTGACGTAATCATATCTGGGATCAATATAGCCTGATCAACTATATTCATCCGAGATATGACCAACATGTGTTTAGGGGAGTGATTGTAGTGTTGCAACTGGTCTAAAACTTACCTAAGCACCAGAAGAATTCTAGAACCAAAGACTAAAATACTATGGGAGTATTTTAGGATGCTATAACAAGGAAAATGAAAACTTGTTAAGTTCTTGTATCTAGAAGTCCAAGAATCAAACTCATAACTAAAATAACATGGAGGTATGTTACATACCTTTGGGGAAATGTTAAAAGATCTTTTCTGATAGGTCTATAATTACTAAGTGGATACGTTAAGGTTATATATAGCCGAGATTTTATAGACTTAGAATATGTGATTTTCACTCTACTTCCTTTTCCTTGTTTGGATGTGGTTTTAGAGTAGGATTACTTATTCAAAGGTCTATTTGATCTGGATTATATATAATCGGTACACACCATGTGATTATAGAAGGACCAGAAAGAATCACCTTCGTAAAAATTTTCTCATAGATTCTTTAGACATTCCCATTCTCGTATAAACCCGTTAGATAAACATAGTTACTCCAGCAATCAATAGAAGAGTCAAGGAGGATCCAACAGAATTTCATTAGGAGAATCCCAAGAAGAAACATAGAGAAGTAAAAACTATAGAAATCATTTAGTGCCTTTACCCTATTAAGGACACCAATGAGATATTCGCATGAACTTCCGAGATTCAAAATCTTCATTACGAAGTAATGGGGATCAGTGTCAGAATCGGAAGTAAGACAGCCCGGGAATTCAATATACCTACAGAGGAGAAGGACACCCTATAGATACCAGGAGAGAACAAATCATTACCACCCAGAATAGAACAAAGGAAAACCACGCATGATTCATGTGAAGTGTTCGAGCACCTTTTCATCTAAGTAATAACTAGTAAATCGGTTCAACCTAGTGAGTTAGTGATTTCATTACTCACATTAGGTTTGGAGCTTATCCTCTTTTCCTGTCACGGCTAATAACAATAAATCAGATCACGGAATCTTAATTGATAGTGATTACTTCTCAAATTCATAAGTCTATTTTATGTAGACACTGTTATGAATTATTTTCGAATATTTTCGAAAA